CTTATTTTTAAAAAAATGCTAAATGTTCTTTATGTAAGAAAAAAACGATGCATAAATACGCGAAAATCATTTTATTTAAAATTAATGTTACATCCCTTACAGAAGGGACATAATTTTGCTACGCAAGGGAAATAACTTAACAAAATAGCTCAAATAAATACGAATCGAACAACTCATAACAAAATACACCATCTATATTTATTGTTTGAATTATAAAATGTATTCAATTATATAGTATGCAAACAATTTTGTATTAGTTATAAATAAAAATAAAGTGTAACTTGTACCATATTTTCACTTAGTATAGAGACACTTTAGCTTTATTTTAAGAATCAATATTTAAGTAGTGTTAAAATAATTTCGCCCACACTTGGCATAACTCTTAATCCTTTAAATTTTTTGGATCCCTTTCAACCGGACAGGCGGATGTTTCAAGGTAGCGTGCCTTCAGCGTCAAGGGTCAATTCAATGTCATGGAAATTTTTGGAATGATAGGTTAGTATGAGTATTACAGAGACACTTCTTCCACGGTCGTTTCTATTACTGTCCATGGGTGACTACAATGTGAACTTTTAACTCCGCAGCTAAGGACTGAGCACAGTAAACTAAGCAGTCAGGAGAAACCGAGTTTGCAAACTTTATTTTAGTCTAGTTCTTATGCGATTTTATTTTCTCCCTTTGATTATTACATATGCAATTGATGTTCATATCTCTGATGCAGTGTAAAACTATCAAACGAATTATTGTTACTGATTTAAATGTTTAAAACAATTAAATAAAAACAAAAACAAAATTAAAACAAAAAAAAATTGAGGACTATATAGGTATAGATGTTTGAAAGGGAAGAATGTTTGCTTTGATGTGTCTCGTTGTAATAACATAACTTTTCCGATAGCTTAAAATTTGTATCATTTTAATTCTCTGTAATCACACATTTATTTCACATCTACTTAAAAACCCAAATTCCACCCCGCCCCCCCCCCCCTCACCCACCACGCCGAGGGAAAAATCATCATTTGAATCATCATTTAATTACACATTTGCATTTTCAGGTTGTTTTTTATTTATTTATTTTTATTTATTTATTTTGTTTTATATTTTTTTTATTTAGACGTTTTGTATTAGATCTATGTATAAGTAAAGCATCTTAAATGAATGAAAGTAGGCTACAAGTAAGAACACAATATTACTATTGTAAATCTGTATCAGTCCTCATAAGCCGATGATGAAAATTAGTGAGGAAATTAATGAGCACTAATATACGATTTTCTAGTAGACTTTCAATATTATTTATTCTTGCTAACTGTTTTTTTTTGCGATGGGTGGAATTGAATACTATTCACTAGCCTCAACATTCGCGGTTGAGTTTTTATTAACGCCAACCTCATGTCATTCTCACCATTTATTTATTTCTTTGTTTTGTTTTTAATTGGAGAAGACACAAAAAGATCTAAAACTCAAAAGGCAATCGATTTTACTTTTGGGTATGAACGGTAAGCAGTTTTTCATTTAACACGATACTTGACGAGTAATCGTTCCGCAAATTTAAGAATTCATTCTGTAATTCATCGGGAACGCTGGCCACATTAAGGGAAGCAGAGAAAGGGTAACATGTCAATGCAGATTCTTCTTCTTTCAGCTCAGGGAAAATAACGCCGCATTCTATTTGCAAGGGATTCAAGATGCCCAGAATCATCTCTCAAATTTTATTTATCTCACAATCAGATTCATCTACCACACTTCAGAGTTTCTCATACATGGCAATATTTCCAGCCTTCACCAATGTTGCAGCTTTGATAAAGATGCCAAGCGATTATCATAAAAAGAGATAACATTCGTTCATTTTCCCTGAAGCTTCAGGTCAAGCTTATGTTGATGTTCGTATATATCTTCTTGGTATGCTACTCGCTCCAACCACTCTTTGTCGTTAAAGTATATCAAAATGTTTTGTTTCCCTTGCACTTCCAATAACAAATTGATTTCATCTTTTAATTCAAAAACGAGATTCACATTTCCTATTGACAGCCATCGTACTGTAATGTAGAACCTCGTGACCTTTATTCATGTCTTCGCACAGTTCTTGACACTCAGTCTAAACATCATTTGCTCAGTTGAAATAATGAATATTTAAGACAATGTTTAATCTGTTTAGAAACAATTCATCTTTCTTTTCTTTCTTTATTTTTTTTTTTAAAGCAGCGGCAAGTGCAAGTAAACTTGACTTGGACAAAATGCATTACTTCCCATATGTTAAATATTTTAATTTTAAAAATCTTACAAGGGAGACTATTTAAAGCAATGTCTTGACAGAAATATATGCATATCTAATTAATATATCAGTCAATATCAATTTACATTTAGTGTAGAAAATTATTAAACATTTAATTTTATTATGAAATTTCTAATACATTCTTTTTAAATTTTACATATGTAAAAAAATAATTGTGACATTATAAATTGCATACACTAGATACTTTAAAAACAAAAATACTAATAATTAATTTTGCACTATGTTATACGTTATTTATTTTTTGTTAACATAAAACTATTTTTGGCTCCCTTGTATAAAGGGGAAATATCATGTTATTTATTATTATTATTCAATAACCAAAATAAAACTGATTTTTACAAAACACACTAATGCAGTAAAAAAAAAGGTATAAAGGGGAAATAAAACTATAGTATATATATATATATATATATATATATATATATATATATATATATATATATATATATATATATATATATATATATATATATATATATATTGGGGAGCCTAAAATTTGCGGGGTGGCCCTTTTTTTCTAGTTCCGCCACTGGTTGCAGTACGGATTTAACTAATGTGTTAAGGGCCAATATGTTACCATTATTTTACTGAAGCTAATTGGTCGATGTCGTTCTGTCAGGTAGCTCTATCAAGTCAGACATGTGGAATAATTCTGTGAACGAATGAGTCCTGGGTTATTTAGTTAGCGCCTTACCTGGAGTACATATGCTGGTGTCGTCTTGTCAGGTGTCTATATATATATATATATATATATATATATATATATATATATATATATATATATATATATATATATATATATATATATATATATATATATATATATATATATATATATATATATATATATATATATATATATATATATCGTTTCCCCCCTATAGTAATTTCTATAATTTCATCCGTTAATCTCACGTACTCCTTTACAATCTACCATTAGAAAGCTGGGCTGTCAATTAATTACAATCAATTGCTGCGTTAATCCTTGGATATGGAGTTTAAATTTTAAAAAAGCAATACCTTAAAATCGTGGGTTGAATTCTTCCTTCAAGGGAAAGGGAAGGGGAGGGGAATAATGGTCCTTCACGAGCTACTTCTAGTGTTTAAAACAGGGGTCTCCAAACTTTTCAGCCCGAGGGCCGCATTAACTACGAAATTTCAGTTCGGGGGCCAGTTTCTTCCAGGCATGTCTTTGATTTTTCTGGGCAAAGTTCCACAGCCATCATCAACAAACGATTTTTCCTGGGACAAAAAGATCTCCGCGGGCCGGATGAGAGGACTTCGCGGGCCGCATCCGGCCCGCGGGCCGTAGTTTTGAGACCCCTGGTTTAAAAGCAAAATATTTTCAGTCGCAGCGTTGGTAGTGGGGTATTCTAAAATTATGAATTACTGAAGTGTAGAAAATAAAACAACTAAATAGCGGCGTATACTAGCAACTATATACAAGCCTTATTTGGCGTAAATGAAAACGAGAAATGCACATTTTTTGTAAAACGTTTGAATTCAGAACCCAATATGTTTAAAAACATAAGGCTTCGGCATGATTCGTTATTTTTTTTATGTTTAAAAAATTTAATTTACATAATTGTATATAAATCACAATATCGTGCAGTAATATAGATTGTTTCAACCTTTTTCTTTTATACTGTTTTCACTAAGAATAAACATTTACTTTGTTGAAAAAAAGGCTCCTTTATGTAAGAAAAAATGATGCACAACTACACGTAAATCCCTTTGTTTAATATTTATTCTGTATCCCTTACAGAAGGGACACCATTTTTAAATTCAAGGGAAATAACTTAACAAAATAGCTTAAACAAATACGAATCGAACAACTCATAACAAAATGCACCATGTCTAATAATGTTTTACTTATAAGTTAAAATTATATATTTTCCATATAAATTATATACATTTCATTTCGAAGAAATGCCTGGAAGAAACTCTGGATACAGTGTGTGGACTAGTGACATTGGAGGTTTATTGATGTTCATGTTATTCTTGGAACAGGGATTATTCATCAAGAAATAAAGTGTTGTAATCTCGAACCTGCAGTCAGAGTGTGATTCTTTAGACAAATCGGATGTGTCAGTGCCGAATCAGGTGTCCACAGCCTAGCGTCAGAATTCCTAAGTCGTGGACAAATACCTACACGACAGGTGGTAAGACACCTCTGTCGCATCTAGGTGCTGCGAGAAGGGGTACAACACAACCTATCAAGGTACGTCACACGTCTGTCACATTTGGTGTCGTCGGCAGGATGGAAACGAGAAACACAAACAAACAACCAAGAATCATAAATCAATCTCACCCTCGGTTACACATGTAAACACATTGGTGCAAGGCAGGCGACGTGATACAGTATTCAATATTTTACCTCCCTTTAATCTTTTGTTTGCTATTACAGGGGAGACTATCAGCTTACAATTTGCTATTTTTACAAAATAAACTTGTAAAAAAAGTAAATTACAAAGTATGCCATTTGTTGCTCTCTTCTTACAAAACATTATTTTTATCAAGTTTGTTTTAATCGATATTATGTGTAATTTATTTATTTTCAAATAGCTATCAATTTTATCTTAATTTATTTCTAATAATAAAAACTTTACTATTATTTTGTTTTAAGTAGTTATATATTTTTCAATAGCAACATGTTAAGCTAGTTATTTAAGTGAAATTTATTATAAACATTTTGGATCCCTTGGTATAAATGGCTACTACGATAGATGTAAACAGCACACTCTCTCTTTCTGACACATCTAAAGGAAATTGTCGTTATATACCGTGTCGAATACACTTTGATGGAAAAGCAAAGGTATCTGATTTCTTCCAAAAAACAATATGTGACGAATCATCAAATGGAAATAAAGAACTTGCTGCCACATTCAGAGGACGACCTTTAAATGGGGTAGAAGTAAACTTGCCATCTGGATTTACGGGTTTAGTATTAAAAGAACATCACAAAAGAACAACAGAAGATGAAGAGAGAAAATTGATAGCTACACACTCATTTGATAAATTTACACACTGGAATTTAGACAAACAACCAACTTCTGATGATTTGATACAAAGGGCCTTGCAATGGGTTGACATCTCCTCCGCTCTGCATAAACCAGTCAAAATGGACTCTGATCAAAGTAGCAGCCAGACAAGCATGAAGGGACATTAAGAATTACAATTTTTAAGTATCTGTAATAAGCTCAATTAAACTAAGAAAGAATCAGTACTGGTACTTAAAGAACCACATAGTTTATTTGGACTTATTTCTATAGCTCTGATAAATGCAACTGACAATACATTGGATTGAATGCTATTTGCAGTACAAGGTTTACTGGCTATTGTAGAAGTACCTACTTGATATTTGCTCTAACTCTAAGACATTTTGTACAGTCATGTAATTTATTATGTGTAGTAAAAGACTTAGTGAAATCATATTTGCCTGCTTTGTATATGTTTCTGTTTATATCTGTGATGTCAAATGAGTAAAAATAAATATTATTTAAAAGAAAAATAATCCCTTAACGGGACAAATTAAAATTGTAAAAAAAGATGTGGGAGGACTGCAATACATGCCGATATACATACAGATGTTTAAAAAGGAAGAATGTTTGATCTGTTGTGTCTCATTGTACTCGACATAACTTGCCAGCTGTTTATAATATTTATAAAATGTATTTCAGTTCTACTTAAAAGCCCAAACCCCCTCAATCCACCACGCCTATGAAAAACAAATCCATTGAATCACCTTTGAATTACACATTTGCATTTTTCAGGTTTAAAAATAAGATTGTAATTAGACGTTTTGTATTAGTTCTTTTTATAAGCAAACCATCTTAAATGAATTTAAGTAGGCTACATCTAAGAAAGAAGCATTACTATTGTAAATCTGTATCAGTCCTCACAAGCCGATGATGAAAACGGTAATACTAAAGCGAACATGGCAAGGCAAACTGACGCTGTACATTACATGTCTGAGGCCAATCGTGCACTATAACTTTCAAATATGTTACAATTAATTAAAAGGTAAGGGTTACCTTAATTAACTTAAGTTGAACGGTGTAGCAATAACCAATCGCTAAAAATTTTTGAGTGACACCACAACCGCTAGTCTGGTGCAGAGGCGTTACACCCTTCCCGGCGCCTTGGGACAAACTTTTAATTTGCAACCCCCCCCCCCCCCCCCCCCTCAAACTTTCTATTATCACCCCCCCCCCCCCCCTCCCCATATATTTTTTATATTTGTAATTCAAAATCGCTGCTAAAATGAGATTTTAATTTGTTTTTCCAACCCATTTTGGCGCCCCCTAAGGTCGGCGCCCGGGAACATATACAACCCCCCCCCCCCTCCCCTCTCTACGACTCTGGTCTGGTGCTGCTAACGAAAATAAACCATTACGTATAATCCCTTTGTTTATCTACTTCTACAAAAAATATTTTTTATATTTACCACTCCGAGTGTTACCAGACTGGAAATAAACAATAAGAAAAGTTACCCTTGTACGAGCATGCAGGCTATTCTTAGAAACAAGAGACACAACACAAACAAAGCCTTGTCCAAAAATAGAAAATTATCCAGGCATCTCTTCGGGGGGGGGGGGGGGGGGGGGGGGCTAAGCTCCCCAAAAAAGTCTACCCCCCCCCCCCCCCCGCCGAACGAAATGAATTTTTTATAGAAAATATATATTTTTAACAGTGCCCCCCCCCCCCCCCGAAGAAAAAAGTCTGGAAGAAACACTGCCAGAAACTGAATATTTTTCCGTATAAAATGAGTTTATACATTTTTGAAGATGCAAATTAAATGTAATAATACTTCCTTTTTTAAAGGAATGATAAGTTTCAATAAAAAATGTAAATGTAATGTCATCAATACTTTCATAATGTGTTTCTTTATTTTGTTTAAACTTTGAAGACCGCATTAACGCGAGGGAAGGGCACACTAGTTATATATAAATCACAATGTCCTATAGTAATATCGATTTTTCAACCTTTATCTTAAATATCGTTTTCACTCAGAATAATTTTTTACTTCTTTTTTTTTTAAAGATCTCTAAGTAAAAAAAAAAAACGATGCATTACTACATTAAAATCCTTTTATTTAAGATTATCTCTATATCCCATAAAGAAGGGACACACTTTTACAATGCAAGGGAAATAACTTAACAAAATAGCTCAAATAAAAACGAATCGAACACCTCATAACAAAATACACCATATCTATTTATTGTTTTACATATAAATGTATGCAATTGTACAGTATGCAAACAATTTTGAATTCATTTTAGATAAAAAATAAAATTTAACTTGTACCACATTTTCACTTAGAACAGAGATACATTACCTTTATTTTTAGAATCATTATTTAAGTTGTGTTAAAATATGCTCAATCACATGTTGTTTTCAGATTACCAATTTAAATTTCTGGATCCCTTGCAAAAGGGACAAATCTGCACTGATCTTAGCCCAGCGGTCGGATACCCTTAGAGACGAAGAGACAAATGTTACAATTTACAAAATTTCTCAGGTTTTTAAAGAGCCAGTAATATTATATTCAATATTTTGGTATTTTATAAGGATTAAGTAAATACATTTGATATTTTATTTAAAATAAATAACGTTAAATATGAACTAATCACTGCACTCCAATATTTACGCTAGAAGTCAGTCCATATTATATTGTGCGAGTATTGTATCTGGAGCGATTAGATGCCACTGTTTTCTTGAGTTTGTAGATCAATGTATTCTTGTAGTGTATAGTATGGGTGGATAAATGTTCATTATACAACGTTACCTGTCCGTATTGTTCATGTTCAACCCCGTACTATGTGTTACCTGTCTGTATTGTTCATGTTCAACCCTCGTGTTATATGTTACCTGTCCGTATTGTTCATGTTCAACCCTCGTGCTATATGTTACCTGTCCGTATTGTTCATGTTCAACCCTCGTGCTATATGTTACCTGTCCGTATTGTTCATGTTCAACCCTCGTGCTATATGTTACCTGTCCGTATTGTTCATGTTCAACCCTCGTGCTATATGTTACCTGTCCGTATTGTTCATGTTCAACCCTCGTGCTATATGTTACCTGTCCGTATTGTTCATGCACTACCCTTGTGCTTAACTCTTATTAAAAAAAAAATCCTACACACATCACTGTCAGTGGGGTACACTGAGACTCGTATAGTTAAAAAAAAAGTCGAATAAATTTTGACTAACTGAACAGAAAACCAAATACGTCTCCATAGCCTTAAGCGGGCAGTACACCCACACTCCCAAACCTAACGTTATTCGCCTGTGTCGTTTTAAAACACATGAATGGAAGTTTATAACGACGTTATAATTTAACAGTTTATAACGATCATATAATTGTTACATTGTATAACTTGATAAAGAAATTATAGTTGTCTTAGTTTTTCTCACTCATAGAAGCCGGCATCGACGGTAGATAAAATAATTATCTACACCGTATTAAATAATACTGTATTCTAATCGCGGGATGTTCTTATGCTACTTCTATACCTGGAATATATTTAAATAAACTAAGTACTCGAGTACCACGCGAAGACACGGCAGAATGCACATGTTAACCTGCAATATGATAAACTACATAGTGAAGGGCGGTTGACTAGGGGTCAATTCAAAGAACACGGACTTGAACTCATTCTGTCCCTTCAGCCATACCCTTTCACGACAGTACTGAAACTTTCTTTACTGAAATATTGACCCTTAAGCAGTTTAAAATGTATCATACACTTTAGATAACCGCACGTCTTTTTACCTGTAAGTACATTAAACTTGTGATATTTTATAAATATCCAATGAATGCAGCTGTTTAAAACGAGGCCGTTATTGTTTACCGTTTTTTAAAAGTTATTGAGCGAAAGGCCAGACGTATGTACAGTGGTTTAAACAACGGGCCCATCGACTCTATAGATATTATGACTATCGTCTAGAGTTTTTGTATTACGATACAGTACAGATCTTTAGCCTCACAAGGTGGACCCCATCACATGACATCAGTGGACGTTTAACCGGTAACTTACACCACTTCCAGTTACCGAAAATCCCCCAAAACTTGATAGAAACATGTATATGAGCTAATACTTACACACAAATATTTCGTCCAGCTAACTGAAATCGGTTTGAAAAACTGATTGCTAACTTACAAAGCGTCTAAGCATTCTGTCAAAATATCATTTGCTCAGTTGAAAAAATAAATATTTTAGATAATGTTTAATCTATTTAGGAAATGTTTATCTTTCTTTTTTCCCCCCCTTTTTTTAAAAGCAGCGGCAAGCACAAGTTAACTTGGCTTGGACAAAATGCATTACTTCCCCTATGTTAAATATTTTAATTTTAAAATAACTAACAAGGGAGGCAACTTATAGCAATGGCTTGTAAGAAATATATTAATATCTGATTAATATAAGAGTCGAAAAACATTTACAACTAGTAAAGAAAATGATTTTATCTTTTTTATTTTTAATGAAGCTTTTATTACTTTCTTAACGTTTTACATATGTAATATAAATAATTGTTACATTATAATTTAAAACACTAGATTATTTTTTTTTAAATATTAATAATAAATATTGTATTTCGCTCCACCTTACGTGAAAGAAAATATGTTGAAAATATATTTCTGGCTCCCCTGAAAAAGGGAAATTAAACTATAGTTAATGTATTTTAGTGTGGACGACAGACCAACAATTAAGCTATTTCTGGCTCCCTTGAATAAGGGAAATCAATTTATTTTTAGGTATTTTCGTGTGGACGACAGACCAACAATCCTATGTCCAGTTGTCCCCTTTGTTAACCTTCAAAACGGCGAATGCTTGTTCTGGTTGGACTACAGAAAATATTATTTCCACTAATATGTTTTTGTTTTAGTGCCGTCTGTGTCCACTGTGTTAGAGTTAGAAAGTTGTATGATGATACATAGGTTGGATTGTTTCCCCTCTTGTTGAGGGTTTTATAGAGCGCATTTATTCAGTTAAAACGGTACATGCTACTGTAGTCTAGATGAAAACGTAGTTAGAACCACTGAACAAGAGGTGAGAAGAATGAAAAATGTGTAACAATTGATGGACCGCAATGGCGTCGTTACAGCCAGTAACAATCTTTATATTACACTGGTATTAAAACTAATAAATTACCTCATTGTTCAAATTTT